TTAAATAAACGGTTCGATGCGAACCCGTAGATGGTAAAATCTTTCTTTAGTCTAATTTTCAGATCTTAGTCCTAAAAGCACACAAATAAAAGCGAGTTAACTAATAAATCACCACCCCTTCTGGGGGACAGGATTAATGTTATTTTCTTGATTTTTCACTTTATATCGGTAGTACTTAAACTTAAAAATATCCTACATAGATTCACAACTAATTCGAACACTGTTAAAAAAGTTATAATGTGCCTTAGTTACAAGATGAAAAATATGTTAATTTTTAGGGTATTTTTCTAGATTTTGAAGGAAAAGACATATACATATTTTTTAAAATTTAACTTTTAACATTATACCTTTCGGCTACGATATTCTCTAATACGATGACTTGGTATCGATTAAGTGATTAAAGAAAAATCGTGGGCCCAGACAAAAAAAAAATGGTATATATATATATTATAAATAGTATATTTTATTTAATACACGTGTATTAAATAAGTAAACACCGTCTGTGGTATACATTTTTTATGCACGCACCGAGCTTTGAGAATCGAAAATATCGTCCAATGGAATTAAGAAAAAGTCGTTAAATTATTATTATGTCAAACAATAAAATATTAGTTTCTTTAATGTTTTTAATAATGTAAATACAAATTGTATGTTTTGCAATAACGATTTAACATATTTTGCTATACAAGCAAACAAATTTGTGCGTTGAGACATATATCCTGTATATTCGGTCATTCTGGTAACACAAATAAATGTTTCACGTTTTCTAGAAAATTGTAAATCTTAAATCCAAACAAAATTCACAATGTATAACAATTTGATGATTTCAATGTTAATCTTGCCTGTCATTACAAACGTCCAAGACGGAACTAGAGTAAGGGCCATGCCGACGGCGCCGCCAGTGCCGTTGACGTCGAAGCAGCTGGACCTGATCGACGGTGTTTACAAAGAAAGGCATTGGCCCGAGTTGTGGTTTAGATCAGTCAAAGACGGAACGGGTTGGATGGTCGCTGACCGTTTGGTCAATCCAAGTTGTAGACCCGGCCCGTGGAAGAAACTGTACCTGATCCCTCAGATGATGGGATGCGTGTACGGGGTGAAGTTTTATTGGTTTCTTTCGTTGGCCGTCAGTGTTATTGGCGAGTGCAGGAGATTGTCTCAAGACGATGATCGTTGTTGGAACCGACTTACGGAGGCTCTCCGAAAAGGTTCCAACACTATATTAGACGTGATGCGCTCATTGACTTACATCCATTCCACTATCGGCGACGATATTGATTTAGATGTATTCTACCAAAACATGTCGACGATCCGAAATTTTCTCAACCAACACAGCGTAACGGAATACACTGCTATATCACCAGAAGGTGGCTTCGCTCAATTTCAGCTGATGGTAAACCATAACGTTACCTTGCAGACCTTTTTGACTTCTAACTGTCATCCAGGGTACCCACCGTTGTATGTTAACGAACGGCTAACGAATGAGTTTAATAGACAATTTCCCAATGCTAACAGTTACGATTTGTATGTATACCTAATGGAATATTACATGCACGACATAAGCACTCATTTGTCGAATATGGGTTTCCGCCATGACGTGGGTACAGACCAAACTACCTTTGTTTATGCACTGTACACGCGGATTAGGAGGTAATTGATAAAGATTCTCTATTTTATTAATACAAATAGTAACCAGTCAATCGATTGGTTACTATTCGACTAATCGACTAAGAATTATTAAAAATAATTCTTGCGAAAATGTCATGTTAAATGTGTTATAACTTATATAATTATTTATAAGACTAAGTATTTTTGAATTAAATGGTATAATCAAATACATAATAAAAGCAAAAAACGAGTTATTATAAAAATGTGTTTTAATTTTGATAAAATAAAGCTGAATATCACTAGGTTTCCCTTACACCGCGTATATATATATATATATATATAATATAGTTAATAAATGATAAATAATTTGTTTTCATATGGTTATTATAGTAGTGTTAGATTTAGATTTAATAATAGTACTTTATGTAAAAATACTTTAAAAGAATTAATGCATTAAGGGTGGAAAATACTGGTAAAAAAAATAACATCAAAGCATAATTCGATATTTTAATAGGAAAATCATAATTTGTTTAAAACAAAGCAGACCGAATATTAGACAGACCTGTATAGTGTATATTACCAACATCTTAAAAGTGTATAACAAAAGATTTTTAATAATGTTATATATTTTGTATTTTATGTTAACATAAATCTACATAATATAACCATGAACAAAATATAACTGTTGGTTAGATATTTTAACATTAATGGCTACAATAATGTTACATCATACAGTCAGCTTGTTAAAGTATTTTTTTTTAAACGTCAATATTTTGTAAAACTGTTATTCTAAGTATAAAAATAAAAATTGTATAAAAGAAACGGAATATTTATTTTTATTTTAAGTTGAGAATTTGTCGTATCATTAGTCTTAAGTAGCTCAAGTTACATTTGTTTATTTGGTTTTTTTTCTAGCAATTTAAAACCCTTGATTTTTAGCTAACAATAGTAATTTTTGTACGAGTTATTACCTCGATGCAGTTTTTTTTAAGATTCAATTTTTGCTCACGTTATTTTTCCATACATATATTATATTTGTTATATATTATGGTGATACCATTTTGAATGTCTTCAATTCTTTCAAAAGCTAAAGTAATTTTAGTGTACATTGAAAATGTTGTATTCTAATATAAATCGTCTACACAAAGGACGTTTAAAATAAATTGTACACCAACAGAGTAGGGTTTTGCGAAACAGTTTCGTTATATTAGCCTCGTTGAATGATTGTCCTACATGGTGTCGCATACAACAATTGTTTAGAGATTTTATTCTTAACTTTGTCTTATAAATATTTAGAGCTTAGAGAAATTCAAAATATATATGAGCTGTTAAGTGCTATGTTTTATTATAATATATAAACGGTAATATCTTTAAAATGATTCATAATTAATAATATATTTACATAGATATTGTTATATAGTGCCAAAGTTTTTCTATTGTAAATGATACCATTTTACAAATAAATTAATCAAAAAATGAAATAATTAAATAGACAATAATGAGTTGTGCGCTGTTTTTTAAATAAAACTATAATTGTTATAGTTAAAACAGTAAGCTTACAGCCGTATAATCGGATATAGTTTTGTAATTGTTCGACCCTTTTGTGTTAGAAAATACTTTAACAGCTATTAAGTATGTTAAGGTGATTAGTAGGTTTGAGTAAAACAAATGTCGCAACGTATGTAATATATATTATTTAAGTACATAACAGGGAAAACAATATTCTTAGCTTATCGCGCAATTGTTGTTGTGAAAAGGTCGACTTAAACATTTGTCCAAGAGCTTTTCAATACACCGCTTAAACTATGGACATATAGCAGCTATATAATATAAAAGAAAGGATACAAATCCCGAAAAATCCCTCGATATAATACTGGGTACCCTTTTGACAATGCGATCTTTAGGTTTTTATTCCAATGGCATGGCGGTGCACAAAAATGTATGTGGATTTGGTGAATGTTGCCTCTCTCACACATGAGCTGTACGCGCTACCATAAAGTATATAATATGCTGGAACCTCCGCGTCTAGAACTTCATATAAGTTAAATGGTGCGGCAAACGTCGACAGTTTTCTACTGGGTCATGCATAATTCAGATAGCTGAGGGCTCCTGAACTCAGCCGTCATAACTCAAGATATCAAGATTAATAACGTAGTGATAAATGTAAAAAAACGACAAACATCAACTTTGTGTAAGAAAAAAAAACAAACGGTATAGAAATATTTGTAACGCGCGAGAAAGCTAGAAAAAAAACCACTGCCAGTTAATTAATTATAGTTATGATTATGTGTAGTTTATTTTAATTATTTAATTAGTTTCTCCAAAATTCTTGAAGCAAATAAATAAAATATAAATGCTGATGAATTTTTGTTTAAATTTTATAGCAGGCTGAATTTATACCAGGAACTCAGTGTGCTTATAGAATGTTTATAATGATCGTTAACAGTCGGCTTGGTTTGGAATCACTCGAAGAAACTTAGACGTACTTCGAGCTGTAAGTTTTTACAATAGTCTGTGTCCGGAAAAGTTAAGGCTCTCGATCAATTTTGAAGTCTCGCATCGTCGCTTAAATTTAAATAATAACATTAATCCGAGTATAATTTATTTTGACTTTAAACGCGGTATTAAAAATGCCTTAGACATTATTTACTCAAATACATTAGTAAATACCATCGATTCAACGTTGGAAAAGCTTGATAGCAAAAGATACAGTATTTGGGTTTGGCTACCTAAATAAGAATAATTATTCTATGGGAACCTAATAAATAAGTTAAAATATTCCATTTTTGGATCCAAACGAAGTCGGTAATGACTTTTTTTGTTGCACTTGGCTTCTATATATAGGGATTAGGTGAAAAGATAACAGAGTTGGTATTATAGTTAGTGTATGGCCGTATAAAGTCATATATATATATGTATTATTATTATATAATATGTATACACAAGAGCGCCAGCAGGATAAATTCCCGCGAGAGCGAGATGAAATAGTTTTAATCGGCTTAGAATTTTTTATGTCTTCATATTATGCAATTATCGTGACTGGGAAAATTATATTATCATAATCTTAGCTCCGACGTGGCGCCGAAGAAGCATTGGATTAAATGTTATGCGAATTTAACTATATTATTATAAAAGACAAGTCATCCAATAAATGGCCATAATTTGTACACTTATAGTTTCATATGTTATTACGGTATATTGTCTGTGAATATAATTAGTATGAATAAATGTCATACTGTAGCGCTTAAAATTGGCCGGGTTGCTCCAATTGTTTGGCTATTAATTTTATTTTTGGAAACAAATTACACAGAATTTAAATGTCTATATAAATTTTAATTTTTTATTTAAACAACATAAATATAATTGTTATTAATTATAATGTTCAAGGCGATATATATTTACATACAAGTAGATTATTAACTCGGCATGTTTTCTGGTACAAAACGCTATACACTATGTATATTAATATTATTACAGAATACACCACTATAATAGATCATTAATACTAACCCGTGTAGTTATTATAATCATAAAATATACATACAGCTTACAAAATAATAAAACAGGTCAATCGAGACACAAATTCATATTTTAGAGTTTAGACTATTTCTATAAAATATTTTTTAAATACAGTGTTCCTACGCGGCGATTGACCGCTTGACGTATACTAATAAAATATCATAACAATATACAACAATGATAGAGATAATATTATAGTTTCATATTATACAATAATAACATTATCACTCTAGTCTCTACTTATTTAGTGATATCGTTGATTTTTTTTTCTTATTATTATCATCATCGAAATATTGTACTATAAAATAATAATATTATACGTATATTCTAATCATAATTGGTTATTAATATTACGGTAAACTATTCGTCTTGGACGACACGCGACAACGGTTGGGTTGTCGACAAGAGGTGAGAGCATTCTATACAATAGTTTTCAATGTATATCTATGGGCGTGAGTTAAGTTTTTCCTATGTTTTCGGTGGTCCAATAAGGGTGGAAAAGTCGAATTTTTATGCGTTTCCAGAAATGTTTTGTATCTCGAGAACACCGTCTTGTCGGGCCGAACCGTTAGGTTATTTACAATCAACACGGGTTAGGTCTCTCCGCGGAGGACTGTCGAAATTAAATTCCCGTTCCCCGGAATGTGTGACAAGGACTTCTAGCCGTTTGCCGTGGAATGCCCCCGGGCACTTTTTTTTTTATTATGTCTGCCATCGCATAGTTTTGCCCAACTAAGCGTTTTATTGTTACATCATTCGCACGGATACGTCGGTAGGTAATGGTCCGAAAAATATTGGAAATCTTTGGTGTGTTTTTTTGCCTTAGACCGCCGTTTGACTATCCCTCAAAACGCCATTTTGTATTCACACTACAAAGAATAATTGTCAAAAAAATCCTAAACGTCGGTTTTGGTTATGGTAAAACTAGTAGAAGCTTCATTGTCCAGTCATAGACAAATGGCAAGGAGTATATTATGACATACTGAGTTTTCTGTTGAATCCAGTTATTCCTTGTATCGGTAAGGTGTTCCTTCCATTCGTCGTCCATTTTTACTACATAAATTTATTATTATTGCCATATTTCCTAAACCTGGAACGCTCTAATCGTTTTTGCAGTCAGATTTTAATCAAAAACTATCTTTCAATTGAGCTAAAAGAAATTATTCGGCTAACTTTAATTTGGAGAGTAAACATTATATGTATTTGATTCCTGTAATTTACTCGTATACAGGGTATAAATTAAGAATAACGTTGCCCAAGTGTCTCCAAAAAGAACACTGGCAAAATGATGCAATTAATTTAATGGATGACTAGTGTCTTATCGTCGATAAATCACCCTGTATGATAACAATACTGTTTGCGCTTGTTGCTGTGGACTAAACCTCGTTATCGTGACTTAAGTCGGTTCAGCGTTGTTGTCATGGAGTATAACGTGTGTACATGTTTAGGATTGACGATAATTCGAACACAACGTTGGGAAATCATGTCGAGGGAGGTCGACGTTATACAAAAACGTCAACCGTAACAGGAAGGACGTCGATAAGTGTTTTATCCCGTGAAATCTGTTTGACGTGTCTGGGCCAAAGAAATATTATACATTAAACCGCGGAAAATATTTCACCGTATTTAGAGGTTGTGTTGTCTTGGTGAAATTTTACATTATGATATTGGATTGTCTTGATTTTTCCTTCTTCCAACCGTTTATTTATTTTGAATTCTTACCGTTATAAACGGCAAATAATAACAATTGCAAAAATAGAAGAAATAATAATAAAATATTATATTCTTTACCCGAGCTAATGCCGTGGGCCGTCTCAGAAAATATGCTTAAAGCGTTTTCTTCGTATTATTATAATGGTTTGTTTCGAGATGGTCGCGAGAGAGCGAAAATATGTTTTCAATATAAATGCTTTGAAGTTCAACCTATCTCTATACAACGAAAAGTAAATTGTGCAAGAATCTCGATGCTTTTAAAAATGTGTGTATATATAATAACAACATACTTCAAAAGAGAAAAAAATCTCGGAATAAAACAAGGTAAAAACTAAAATATGATGGAAAACGTAATGTTTGAACTTGGTGATTTTTTTTTTAATATCATTTACTTAAAAAGCATTTTTGAATTTTGGGTTATTAATGTTTCGGTGAGTAAGCTACATAATGTCATTATTTCATACTCCATTTGGCAGTTATTATTGAAGTTTATTATTTAAAATATGCTACTGTATATTATTTAATATGTGATTTGAATATTTATGGAGTTTTGTTCAAAGACTACTACTACTAATTTGGGATCTATTCTATTGCTCACAATCGGCACACCTAATATTGGTACTGAATTTAAATAATATAAGCAACGCGTACAAACAAAAAAACAATAATCTGAAATTGAGAGGGTTTTGATGTTGTTTGTTACGGATTAACAATTAATGAATAATAGTTTATGAAATAATTTCGCACAGTACCTACTACGGTGTTATGACATACAAATTGTTGTAAACTAAATTATTTACAGCTAAATCTATCCCAAACAAGATTTATCAATTGCTATATTATGTTATACATATAAATATATTATCTACAGCCGTACAAATTACGTTTGATTTGATGGCGTTAACGCGGTAACTACAGTAAAAAAACATAACACCCATAACTGTACAAATGGGGACACCTCGTTCAACGGGTCTATGAATCGGGTCCTTCACCCACGTACCCTTCGTCAGGGCTTTCCGAGTTAGCCGGTTGATTTTGCACGGACGCCACCGCTTTGTGTTGCTCCGGTTGTCTGTAGTTTGATTGCGACGATGTCGGTGGCGGCGGAGGTTGAGTCGCCGTCGGCGGCGGCTGCGACTGCGGCTCCATATCTTCGTCAAGGGTTTGAGCGGATGCGTTCGACAGAGACGGCGGATGAGATTCGTAGTACGCGCCCGCGGTCGGTGCCACGTAGAACGCGTCGGGACCGGCTGCGACGTACGGATAGCCTTGTTGGTTGTACCGCACGTTCTGCGGCTCGTACCTCACGTGATGGTGATGATGATGACGATGATTGCGGTGATGATGTTGTTGTACCAAAACGAATTCGGCTTCCTGACAAGTGCGACCCTGCGGTTTGGCAGCGTTGCGACGGTGCGGCAGTGTCCGGTACAACGCTGGCGGCGGTGGGTACGCCGACATTCTGGGCAGACCGTAGTCCGGCGGGTAAGCCGTGGCGTCGGCGACTAACGTCAACTTGGGTAACCCGTAATCGGCCGGGTACGGCTCGCCGGCCATGAGTTTGCTAGGCGATAACTGTTGCAGGTCGTATCCTCCTCCGCCGGAGGTCATGGGATACACCGTGGCCGGCGACCAATAATCTGCACGACTAACCGCAGACGGCGGCGGTACCACTAATTTGTACACTTCGCGAGCGGTGTCGTTGTGGTAGTCGCCGTTGTCTTTGACGACGGTAGACGCGTCGCTTATGAGGTCAGGGTTTGCTTCCAACGTGGTGTTACCTTGTGTGGCGGCTACCGGTTGGTACATGTCGTAGCCGCTCACTTGGAGGACTTCGTGAACTTCGTAAGCGGCCGATGCCGGACTGTTGGCCTCGTACTCGTATGCGCTGACGTCCTCGACCGATGACATTTTGCCTTCTACCGTCGACGATACAGTCAGGTTGACCGAGTCGGATTGTCTGACGTCCGATGTCGATTTGGAAGCCTGTCCGTTTTGCGTTGCACTCGCGCCGGGAGAAGGATTCGACTTTCCACCCGTTCTCGTCCTTCGTCCCGAACACATAATTTGACAGCCCACTATACTGGCTACGGCTATAATAAGGAAACACAGAGCTCCGCCCGCTAATATGCCCACAGTCAACATCGGAACGGCAGTCGACGGAGAATAAGAACCGGCCACCGTTTCGGAGGGCCCCTGGATGACGCGCACCGTGAAGTTACAGGTCGTTCGTCCCGCCCGGTTTTCGGCCACGCAAGAGTAAGATCCGTTGTGCCGGACGGTCACTTCGGGGATCAATAAATCCTCCGTTTCGTCCGCCGTGGACGTCAAGGCCGTTTCGTTGCCCAGGGGCCGTCCCTCGAACCACCAGGAGATTGCGGCGGTGACGCCCGCGGGACTCAGTTGGCACGAAAGCGTCAAGTTTTTGCCCGTTTCCGTTTCCTGGAACGCGGCCGACGTCGTCTTTGCCGTCGGCGTACAAGCCAATTCGTCCCGGGCTAGTTTCTTGATTGCCATGCCGCGTAACCGTTCCGGCGAGTGGCACGACGGCTCGACGGTATGAGGCGCGCTGTTGTTGTTCAGCCAACGGTGCACGTCCAGCAGGCGGCAGTCGCAGTCCCACGGGTTGTGGTGTATTTCGATGCCGTGTAACGATAGCGGTAAAACCGAACCACCGCTACCGCTAACCATCCGGACTATGCGGTTGTCGTTGAGCCGCAGCCACTCGAGGCTGGCCAAACCGTCGAACGCTCCGGGCTCGATCGTCTCCAGCCGGCACCGGCTCAGATCCAACACGGTCAGGTAGGACAGCCGTCTGAAAGCGGCCGTCCTGACCACGGTGATGGCGTTGCCGCTGAACACGAGCTTCATCAGTAGGGGATAGTCGTCGAACGACTTGCTCGGTATGTCGGCGATGCCGTTGTCGGACAAGTCCAGTTCGACCATGTTGGACAGACCCTGGAATGCGCCGTCGTCCACGTAAGCGATCCGGCAACGGGCCATGAAGATTTTCTGCAAGTTGGCCAAGCCGGCCGTGATGAACCGACCTTGGGGCAGCGATTTCACCGGGTTGCCCGACATGTCCAGCACCTGCGTGCCGGGGTCGATGCCGTCCGGTATGGTCGACAGGCTCTTGTTGACGCACTCCACAGTTTGCTTGCCGCCTTTCCATTTGCACGTGCACGTCAACGGACAGGCCGTCGCTGCCACCAATGTGGCGGCCACGACGGCCAACAATAGCAGCGGGGTGTCCGAACGCATAATCACATGGCGTTCAACCGACCGGTAGCAGCTCCACCACTTTTGTCTCTCGTCCACATGCTTCCCCTTCACGACCTGCGAACACAAGTTGTACAACGTGGTGTTAGATGCGATATGACATAACAAGTGGTACTACATTATATAGTTTGATTTTATAAACTCCAATTTTATAGCATTTATTAGCAATTGAATAACAGCTGCTAAGTGAAATATTTTGATTTACCTACGCAATATAAACGAATGGATATGGCCATAAACTATTTCAAAGCGACGTCGATTTCATGGGGAAATAAGCCCGAGACGTCGGTATTTCTATAACGATTCCTTGATTTTTTTCTATTTGAAAAACGCCCTTTATTGCTAATAATTCTACCGGCAAATCTATTCGTTTGATATGAACGTATACGGTACGTTAGACGTGATGCGGGCCATGTTGTAGTGTACCGTGTCGAGGTAAACTAAGCGAAAAAGCAAGAATTGCAGACAGACGTTTCCTATTCGACGCAGCATGAAGATGAAATGACTCAAACATAATTTGTTTTTTTTTTTATCCTGACAGAGGTAAGTTCGATTTCGAACACGGTACGAAAAGATTGCCCGTATCGTCGAATCAAAATGATTAAACAGGATATTAAAAGTTATAACCAATAACATGTTATCGTACAATAAGTACACATTCAAACGACTACTCTTAAAAAAAAACCAGTTAATTAATAAGAACTAAACAAATGTTGGTTTATTATTTATTTGAGTTAAAATGTATCAGCATGTTGCATATGCTCTTATAAGTTAGTTAGCTTAAGTACATGTACAATGTCAGATTATAATTTATATTTGCTCTAATTATAAAATTTGTTTTCTAACCACTATAACGATTGTTTTCTAACGATCTATATAATTAATTGTTAGAGAAAACACCCAACATCAGCAACGGTTGTAATTAAAATATTTTTTAAGTACCTCGTTAAAGCTAGACGTTGTAGTTAAAAACTCTTTAATTTTTATTTTTAAATAACATTTACAATCTGTACATTAAGAAAAATATACAATAAGCAAATATGTTAACAATGTAAATAATGACTTGGAGACTACGAGTAGGGAAGCTATCCAGTGATAGATTTCACTTAGATAGATTTGTTTATGGGTTATATTTTATGAGACAAAAGTATAATAATTTCAGCTGCACTATTTATTTCTACATTGTTTGTCTCTAATGCAGTTCTGTACTTTACGATGTTGTAACTTAAAGCGTCATACGGTGTACCGTTTTAAGACTCGCTTAGTTAGACCATAAAGACATGTACACTGCCAGCGCTGCGTGTACACGGTTTTCACGAACAAATTATCATTAATAATTTCTGTCTTAGCTAAATAAAAAATGTATACGAGCGCGTCTACCGCCTAATGCATTGCAATAAGCTCTGGTTTAATAAGTAAAACCACTTTAAAGGTTTGGACGCAGGAACAATATTTTATACCGTTCCGAATGGCATTAATTAACTTTAAACGTTTTTTTTATTGGCAAGTTCAAAACATCCGGTTAAGCTGTCTGCGCTAACCATCGATCGCTTTATTCGACTTTTGTGTTAGTTATAATATTATAACAAAATATAGTATACATTTTGGTGAAATTATTTAGCAATGCGTTTGTCTAACTGTTTTGCGGCGTTGACACTGTCCAAGGCAACAAACGGTCGGGTATTATGATGATAATTGAATAAAATAATTCTGGGCACACTTTAAGTTCGCACAAATCGATGCTGGCCGTAAGTACGTGCCTGCCAACAACAACTGCCATATCGATGCATTAATGGACTATGGGAACAATAATCGAATTAAAACACTACTCGATTATAGAAATTCTACAAGGGACATGCTCTACAGTTATATCATCTCGGGCGGTATTCAGGTCGGCGGTACTTGCAGTGCCTATAATTTAATTTAATATCAGAGTTAATAAGGTACCCTAAGGCCTAAACCACAGACTATATTATTATAAAAACAGATAGCCCACTCGGCGTGTGAACAAAAACCATGACTCCTCCAAATGAAATCAGTGTGACCGCAGACTCGAGCATAACATTTTTTAAACGGATTATCACGGATTAATTTTAAATTTTACAATAAATTTATTATATGATACATTTTCTAATCCGTGATCATTTATGGTCAGTCGTCATTTAAACCGTTTTGGTTGTTAATTAGGAGTTTGTACAATATTTGCACGATAATTTATACCAATTCATGCGGCTACACTGATATGTTCGCGAGTCAGCTATCTGTTTTCATATTATTATCTATAGTCAGTGCCTAAACAAAGTTTCAAAATCACAAATCACAATAATTCTATAAACTATAGAACTATATTTAGGTTACATTAAGATTTTCAACGTGCTATTTTTAGATATCCGGACTTGGCTTGAATTTTTGATAATGTGCACAGAAACTACCAGCGATAAAGAACGCAATTATTTGTATATCCTTCTCGGTCGGGCAACGGATCTTTGTTGAAGAAAAGTATGAATAATAATAATTATCATTGTTATTGTTATTATAAGACGGTGAGTCGACCGCCAATGGGAAAACGCGATTTTCTCATTGAAATCAGAGCCGGTGACGTAGAAAACAAACAAATCGAGAAAGAAAAATAATTTCAATTTTTAATTGCCAACATGACGCTTAATATGCACAAAGTGTCGTCGCCCACGGGCCAATCGCCAGATAAAAAGAATTTTAAAAAAACCGAGATAATTCCAAAAGTTTATTACCTTTCTTTTTATTTTGTTTCAAGAAATTCTGTCCACGAAGTTATAATTTTTTCTTATTATGTAGTTTATTTTTTTAACATTTAATTCGTTTGTACAGGAGTTTTCGGTAAAACTTAATAATAAAAAAAATACAACACCAAGTAAGAATTGGAGTAAACTTATCATCGATCAGGACACCGGTTAAATTCATTTTGCTAGCGATTGAATGTACAAATTTACTCTTGATGTTTTTTTCCTGCATTATTTAAAACGGTTTTTATTGATTTGGTAATAATAGTTTATTAATTCGGTTTTTACAAAATTAATTAGTTGATAAATTTTAGAGGATTTAAATTGATTAACAAATGTATTGATGAAGTATAGAATACCTATTTGCACGTTGATTGACGGTTAACGTACTTAAATTAACAATTTTGTGGCGTTTAGACAAAATATATATTATGTCGAATCGATATTGTTATATTTGTGTTAAGTAGACGTTTTTGGAAAGTGACCACTATATTTTACATTTAAATATCAGTAGGACAGCTTAGTAGCTGTGTCATCTGAATATTATTTGTGATCATATTCAATAACCACTGCCATCGTCGGTGAAATGCTAAAATGAATTTTTACTTTTTCAGCCAAAAAAAAAAAAAAATATCATAAATTTAGACTTATCCCTCTCCTGTGCTCGAACGGGGCAGAATTTATTGGAGTAAATATTTTATCGATTCATACTATTTGCAACTGTACTCTGAGTTTAAGTGACAATTTTACGACCTAGTGGTTACGGTAGTATATATAATATTACTATGCATTGGCTGCGACACAGTGTTGTGGGGTTTGAACCCCCAAAACCCCCCTATATGGCGACACTCATGCAGATACCTATATAATATAATTGTATTATACATACAAACCAAATATCATACTAATGTGTGCTTTCGATAAACGGCAGGCAACACTACCAACGCGGATTGGTCGTTGAGTTCTCGACCTATCCCACGAACGCACGCGGTTATAACTTGACAATAATATTAATTATTATTATTATTATAAAGCTTTGAAGGGTGACTGAACCAACGCAACGGCTATAAACAATGCACGAATATTTCTATTTCCTTAAGCCGTGTAATATATTTCGGATCTGATACGCGTTTACTGTCGAGCTTAAGGGAAAGATATCACCACCGTGTGTGTGTGTGTGTTGTTCAATTTGCAACATTTAAGCGGATCATCGAGAACATCCGCTTGGAAAAAATAAATCTCACCGTGGAAATGCCAGACAACGTTATTCGTATAAAATATAACGGTTATAAATCACGTGTGTCCGGGTGTTTTGCATATATATATACACAGACGGGGTACGATTATGGTTTTTTTTTTGAGATTTTAACGCCGGTATAATATAATCTGTGCTGCGAATGTGGTCGAATGTGACGGAAAACAAAATAACCAGGAAAAAGGCCAAGAGCAGAGGCTTCGTCCGAGATACCGTGGAAAAAGAAATGATAAAAAAAGTCAACGCATCTCTTGCTAAGGACATTTAAAGATTGACGTATTTCGAGATCATCGATCGCTGGCAAACGCCTTTTACATGACTTTTGGATGTTTTTTTTTATCGCCAGATAAGATGTAATGTTCAGCGACTGATGTCAATTATTGTCAACGTTGGCTCGGTGGCGGAGATAAGAAGGGGGAGTGTAAAAAAACAACTACTTAAAATATTAGCGCTACGTTTATTTGTATTTCAACAAATGTAGGTATTTTGAAAAGCCCTAATTTCAAGTGTTAAGGTTTTTAGTATCCCAAGCCCCCCCCCCCCACGCTGCAGCATCTATGCAAACAACGAATATCCGTATCGGGCGACAGTGGCGGTGGCGACGGCGGAGGCGAACCGAAGTTTATAAGTAAGAAAATAACGGAAGTGAGTTCCATTGGCTTTTGAAAAGTTTAAGTTGTCTTGCCGAGAACTTTGGAGAGAGTGGGAAAAATGTTAATCATTGTTGTGCGGTACAACACACAGCGGTGCCATGGTAAACGCCGCGTTAGCCGTCGGCTGCGTACAAACTTTGTGCCGGCTTGTGATTTAATCCCGTTTTTTCCTCTTTCTGGAACTCAAGTTTTCCCCATGCGATACCACACACCTTCGACTCACAACCGCTGTCGGTTTATTGTGAGCAAATCTCTAGGCACTCGATATTTGATCCGTCCGACACACAATTCCGGTCGTCATATACACACACACACCTTCGACGAGACTGACTTTCAAACACCACCAGTCTTAGCGAAACCTAAAAAAATTGATATATTATGACAAGCACGTGGTTGGTCTTTAGCTACCTACGGTATCTCAGGCCTAATCCGTTTGGGCATTTTTTTTCCGGGACTGAGAGTGTATAAACGTTAGGGTAGACTTTCAGGCATAGAGAGCATTCCCCAAAGGCTATAGTATAAACATTTTCGTTGTAATTGTTCAAAGCAAAACAATTACACTCAAATCACAATAGGCTAAATCGCCTTATGCAAACCTTTATTAGTGTCCCAACTGTCTTGCAGAAAATACCTTTCTGGAAAAATCCCAGTCTTCGTTTCAAACATAATAACAGAATCCAATGCCGTATATACATGTACATTGTAAAGTATTTTAATTTATTAACTAAACAAAGTTGCGTTTTAAAAGTACTGTTATAGTACATATAATAAAACAAAAACCCGTATTTTAACATCACTAACAATAATAATCGACGGGCATTATTGTGATGAATAAATAACAAGTATCAATGCACTTAAGCTTTGTTTTAGTATCAAGCCACTTTCTTGTTTCGATAAAAGTATAACAACATTACTTCCGTAACATTAGAGGAGCCAAAAAAAAAGAATATAGTATACAATTAAGTAATTTTTTTAGTGTTATTATTATATTTTTTTAGAGGTCATAATTTAATAATAAGCGAGAAACACGTGTGTGTGTATTCAACCGTATTTTTTTCTTTTCAGTTCTAACCGCATAGTACAGATATCGTTTCCCTTCTGAGAAAGACTTTCTCGCACAAAGTGCGTTGGTTTTTTTTTGTTGTTGTTAATAAACTAACGAGCACACCATGGCCCACATGTTTGCGTTTCTTTAGCCATCCAGTTATTTTCCCATCATTTCACCATTTGCCTTTATATATTGTTTTATGTTAATATTTTTTTACCGGTCGATAAAGAATGACGTCTCGGAATTTTTTACCAAGCGCTGCCATCATCGACTTTTTTAGGTAGCTAAAAAACTGGTCAAGTTGAAATCCGATAATTCACAAAACCCACAGTTTCCGTCGTTAAGGTTATAACTGAAAAAACATTTTGTAATTAATATTAGAAATCCTATCCACATGTCCAATGATGTATAAATATTATTTAATTTAAGAAAAACATGTATTAAAAATCATTATTTTTTAACACCGCGTGCAACCCTTAGGCTATTATAAGGGAAACATAATAAAACTAACAATATTAATTGCAGCTGATGGTGTTTTCTACCCCCACCGTGGAAATATTAATAAAAATATTGTGCTTTAAACTTCAACGAAAACCCGAGAAGGCAATGTTTTTTTTTTTAATGACGCATTACTTTATGATTGTGTTTGTTTGTACAACTTTAAATCGCTGGAGCATTTTTTTAGATCAGAAATCATTGGTACCTTGGGAATAATAATTTAAAAAAAGTCCAATTTCGTTACACCGAATCGAAAAATGTGCTGTCCGTTTTTAGGGCTATCCTCATTATGAATCCATTGTTTTATTCTTAGTTTTCGTTAAAAACTAGGCCCTTCTAAAACGAGGGAATGTTGTTTGCGTTCTTAATTTATTAGGCGAATTTTCAAAAGTTAAGAGATAAAAACGATAATGAATGTATAGACCTACTTTACTGATAAATTACATGAAAAAGTTAAAATAAATGGCCATCAGAGTGTTATCTTATCAATTTATATTACGGTATATATTGTTTACTTTTTTTTTGTGTTTAATCAAACAGCGTAACAGTAAAAAATCGTTTCGTATTGTTTATGTAGATGGAGTATGCTTACTACAAGTGTGTCTCCTATATAGAAGTATATATACAATCAAAAACGTGGTAGGTAGGTACTTGCTTTGAACCAGCTTATTGACAATACTTTGTGTTTCACTAAGAACTATTCTTAGGCCTATTTTTTTAAAATGTATATAATAGCGAGTAAACTTTACATTATTCTTAAAATGTGTAAAAAAGAAAAAAAATATTCATTTTATGTACGGTTTTTTTGATTAAACTGCGATAGTTTATTGCTATTTTGTTGTTCTTCATTTCAACATTTATTAAAAATATATTATTTATTTGGTTGTATTAATTAACTAATTAATTTTTTATTATTTTAATTTATTTATACAAATGCCTTTGTAAAAATGAGACGCTTCTGTCTTATATTGAGTACCTATATAGTATAGTGCCTTTAATTAATTTTTTATTATGATTTCAAAACTGACAAAAAATGGAATATTTAAAATGTAAACTCTTTTATATTTCATTTATCCAGCTTGGCTTATCGAAAATGTATACATAATTTATAACCTTAACTGTTTGTAATCAGCTAGTCGAAACGAAAGTTTGAAAATTATTTTCTGATATTATGTTCTTAAAATAAAAGGATAAAAAAAATGTTGTTGGCGAATTTATAATATCTACTGGCGGGTTATTATAAAGTCGAAATATATGGCCTTCGTGTAGAAATAAGGTTAGTAAGTAATAATGCAATTTTATAACGACAAGATACGGTGGTTTATTAAGACGATTCTCCACTGATCGTTTTCAAGCATAGTAAACAAAAACGATGTTTTTTATTCTTACTGTCGAGTAAACTGTATTTGTATACTTGTAGTATTAATACCAGGAGAGTGGAGACATAAAGTTTTGTAAACTCTTATAGTTCTAAGTATAATTTAAATATAGTACTTCTATCAAAAAATTAACCAATCATATAAATTCTATAGAACATCCCAAGACCTTGTGAGACCTTTTGGCCTATATTTTTTTTATGTTTTGTAAGAAATTCCGTTTTTAAAACCAATGAATACATATTAATATATGTATACGTTTAAAATTATCGCTCACTTTGTATAATGTGTTTTGTATTATTTACTTCACGTTTCCACATTTTAGATGTTGTCCAAAATAGCAGACTGTAGCATTTTTTTTTTTTATAATTCAGCTGTGGAACTACAATATATATTTAAACATGTACATATACAGACGGTATGAAAATAACGGCAATGTTCATGTCGGAAAGTGAACAATAATTAACTAGCCAGCGTGGTCGGTAAGTACATATACTTGTGCGTGGGTCAAACGACACCACGGTCGGGGAGATGTGCAGGGGAGGGCTAAGAGGTCAGAGTTGGAAAACAGGTGTTTCGCGAAACGTATTGTGTGTTCCCACCCACAAATACAAAACTTTTACACAATATCGCAGACGAATGTAGTGTATATACATAATATAAACCGTGTTCCTTGGCCGCCACCTTTGCGCGTTCGCCGGGGTGCCCATAAGCAAACTTCTTTGCAAAATTGTTGAGAAAAAAAATACACCAATTTCCGAGCAAGTTTAAAAATTAAAAGTTTTTTTTCTCGCCCGGATAAAATGTATTTTTATCCCTTACCGACGACCGTTATAGTGAAAAGTCTATCCAATTTTATAATACACAAAAAAAAAAAACCAAAAATATAGGTGTACGATAATAATAAATTATTACTCAAGTCGTTTCGCGTTGGAAAACAGCTTGGATTTAAAACACAATTAAACATTAACAGTTTTAAGAAAACTGATTAAGACACGAATAAGAAGAAGCGATTAAACGAAGAAGAAACGATTAAGAAAATCTACTATCTAGTAGATTTTCTTAATCGACCGTCACTACAACTGTGACAAAAAAACAATCTGTAAATGTGACACACAGCCGTTAAGGATAATGTAGAGTTCGGATGTTAATGACCATAAATGTACTGAAATATGCATTTTAAAATGTCAAAATATGCAATTATATATTTTTTTGGGGGTCGGCTTAACATAGGATAATTATTTAAAAAGGGAATTTTATTTATTATGATAACAAACAATTATTTTGATGGGGTTCTATCCGAGCTTTAGTTATTATATTATAGCGGAATTTGTTGTTTTTGAAAAGAAAAAATGGCGATTTTAAAATAAAGAAAAAAGTTGCGGCAGCCTTGATGATGGTTTACGGTCGGTCAGAAAACAAAATTTACGTGACGTATCCAAGGCGACCGGCACCATAATGATTCTCCCATTTCTGGACAGCTTCTGGGGAGGAGAGTTGGGCTAAAGAATATATTTCTTTACTCTGACCCCCCGGTTCGGTTATCATTCGGGTCGAGCACAGTTTATACATTTAAAAAAAAAAAGAACAAAGAAACTCTCCCTCTATATATTTCATAAATATTGTACTTAGGTATATATATACTATAATAATAATATGTATTGCGTTTTTACTCATCTACTGCAGATATCTTGTCAAGTATATGTACGATGAACAGCACGAGGACATAACGACAAACAGTATTAAAACTCCTTGCAAAAAGGTCATTCCGGCCACGATAATAAATCAAACGATACAAGAAAAAAAAACATTACAAGCAATAATTTCTCATTGCGGATCGTAGGGAACGGTATGGGTTTTCTTTCAGCAAACAGAGTTATCTTATAAAAATTAGTATTGCCAAATCGCGCAAACCATAAATTACAAAAAACCCAAACCAAACCATACGGTTTTTTCTTTTACAATATGCGAGTCGTGAGTTTTTTTTTTAAATTAAATAAAATACAAACAACAGCTAACGTGATCTTATTAATTAAAACCACGCGGTGTGGTTAACGGTAAATTTAACGTTTGCTTCTACTATATTAATCTGTTTTAATGCACACTTGTAGTGTTTACGAGTCGACGGCGCAGTTGTGTTTTAAGGGCACAATTTCTTATTGATAAGTTGGAAATCGTCCAAACACAGCTCTTTCGGTTAATGGCCTTTAAAATAGATCTTGGCGAACTTAGACCGTTCGAACCGATCACTATTGTCTAACATGGCTCAGACAATTCATCGACGAACATATAATCTCGGTAAGTGATTAACACCATTGTTGTCTTTAATCTAATTCTCTTTTGTTGGGCTTCCATCATTGCCCTGTTATTATAATTAATAAATATTTTAATTGAAAAATAACCCCATCAACGCACGAACGGTGTTTTTTGTTGTTGTTGTATTTTTGCCTTACATTAAGTTGTTTTCGGTGTAAAAAAGAGGCGGAGAGAAAGGATTAGATCAAAAGAAACGATAACCTTAACTTAACAGACTTCTTAATTCAACGAATAAAGACATACCGTTGAATAAATTAACAACTAAAAATTAAAAAAAAAACAATTAGTAAAATATATATTGTTGTTGCAGCTGTCTTTTGTTAGGTACTTATATGTCAAGTATTAAAATTAAAATTTGATGACTCTTTTAGTATCTAACTATGAAAAATATTATAAAGATCTTGTTTTTTTTTTTTATGAACAATATTATTTTTCTAAAATTGTGTGCAATAAAAAAAGCACGGCATTCTTGCCAGGTAGATGGGACACTTTTGATAGCAGCTTCTGGTTTTTATCCGACAAAAACTTATCTGAAATTAATTAATTAACATTTATAATATTTTTTCTTCGTAACGATCAATACAAATAACCGCACACCGAGCGGGTACAACGGGGGTCGCGGTTAACCATAAAAGTTTTTGGGTCATTCTCGTGGAGTTCAGGAATTTACCTAGAACGTTGAACGTCGACAAACGTCCTTAAAGTTTATCAATTGCTTATGCAAATTTTGTCAAGTGTGAACTGGCCAAATAGAATTTACAATAAATTGTGAGTATTAAATTACCGTCGCACCAGAAAGAGATGTACAGGCATTTGTTTACAGTCAACGACTATACCCAAAGTCAGCAGGTTTAAACTTTAGCATCGTGATGATTTTTAATAATCATTTTGTTTTTAGAGCGAAATTAGAGATCGTTAGTGGTGAAATTGTTTTGCAATAAACGACTTCCCATGCGACACAAATACTATACTTTTACACAACATATGTTACATACAGCACAAATGTTTTATACTGTGTATGGCAATGTGTTTATAATATATCATCAATATTTTCGAATAACACTATAAGTTATAAAAGTATTATTTTTACAATAATATTATATTTTGTTGGCGAGTTATTACTACCATATTATTATGTTTGTACAATAGATTGTGTATAAAAAACAGACTTTTTTACTTACACCCCAACCGATATAGTAGCCTATTCAAATAAAAACCCCCAAAATTTCACATCCCTAACTCAACTCCAAGTATTTCCTCGTGAATTTTTACTTACAGCCCATTTAAACTGATAACATGCTAAAAAAAAAATGTAATAATAATACACGAGACCTTGAAACCGCGTGAACCGTGTAATTATGGTGTTGTTGTTAGGTATAATGATTATTATTATTATTATTATTATATCAGTAATATGGTCGAGATAATTATTATTGAGGGTACGTGTTTAACGGTCGACCGAATCGTTTTACATATGCGTCGAATCGTATAATATAGGCCGCTTGATCATGTGCTATAGAAATATACATACGGGAAGGGAAAAAAAAGTCCTTCGGGAAACGCGCAGTGCATGAAAAAATAAATATCGTTTTTCCCGATTCTCCGACGATAATAATTCATCGTTGGAAAATCATTGGTATAAGGCTAAACTATAAATTATAGTAATAATATAATATAATGTATAAATCTGCAAGATTTATCTAAAGATTGGTCACACTCATAGACCGAACACCGTCCAATTTGACGGTCCGGCGGACGTCTCATCCATCTGCTGCCATGGCCAATATATACAAACAAAACCGGGATTTCGTCACCGGACCGAAACGATAATAATATTATACAGCACAAGTGGGGTGGTTTACCTATAAGGGATGTTATTGTACCGGTAGGTAGGTATATTAACATTGACGGCAGTGCAATCGGTCAAAACCAAACGTGGCAGTCATCTCCCAGCTGTATGATTGATCTGGCCGGCAGTCACGGGTCCATATCATAATAATATATGGCGGTAGGTATCTACTATTATTTGTCGCTGTAACGCCCTTTGCTGGTCTTGTGCCGGTCAGGTATGATCATTCAACGGCAGTCGTAAAACACAGGTGACCAACGCAGTAATACTATTCATAATATGAATGTCGTATTAACATGGCAAATTATGACGATACTCTGATAACATGGACTTAAAAAAATATATATATTTTATTATACGTTTCCGGACAAGTGGTGGGAGGGTTGGCCGCATAAAAATCGCCCCCCAGGTGTTGGATTTATTGATCTTCGAGCGATGGGTTCGTCACACGAACCGCCGAGTGCCTATACGCATAGACCGGGGCTGGGCAACTTGGTGATTTATCCCGTTCTGCAGCAGATAGATGGGCGTGCGTGGGATAGACCGATTAGGGGGAGGAGTGGGGGGGGACGAGAAAATCTCGTTTTTGATGGTTTTTCACATTTTTTTTTTTTAAACTAAATAAATCTTTGCCGACAACTTTTGATATAATCGTTCAGGGTCGTCCGGCGGTCATGGAAAATAAGCCAAACGCGTTTTTTTCTCTCTACATTTAAAAGGAACGCATTTTCTGTAATGTAAGTACGTTTCGAGAGTGGAAATTAGTCAAAATTCGATCCGGTTGCTGTTGAAAATTACTGTAAAAAAAAGACTGTAGACATAAAGTATACAAAGAAATATATTATAAAAACAACAACTACGCAGTTTTTATCATTTGAAACTTAAGTTTCTCGAAGTTTTATTCCCATTCATATTGTTTTTAATGTACTTAAATTTTTGTAAAACGCACATTTTTTTTTAAGACATAATATTTTTAGGCAATTCATCCGCTCATACTAATAAGAAAGTTGGAAAATAGAAAATTGTTGTATCGTTTATAATTATTGTTAACAGCGTTGGCATATAATTGAATCGTTTGTTAATTATTGTATCTCTAAACTATTATTTTGGTCTTTTGATAAAACGTTACAGTAATACAAATATTAAATTGTATTAAAACATCTAAAAAAAAAAAATTGATTTTCTTATTTTGTTTGGGCCTTTTTGGGTGATCTTAGCGGAGCTTTTGTGTTTCAGTTAACCGGGAAATTTACTTGTAGACATTTTCAAAAGAGAAAAAGGGCGGAAATGCATGATGAAACGGTTATTTTGCTAGACGTTTTGCATATATTATAAAGCGCCTATATATATATACATAACAGTATGTAATTAGTAAGGGATAATATCTTTAGAGACCGCACCATCCGAACAGTCGAGGTGTCGAGGTCGTTTTTGTTAGAAAATTGAGATTCATCACATTTTTATTATTATCGTTTCGGCCTGCGAAAATATCAACATTTTTTTGTTTGCTTATTTTTTTTCCAATTTATCACGAACCGCGCAACTGGTTAAACCGCATACTACTATATACTATGTACAGTTACCACGGGGGTCGCCTAATATATTATTCAGCACGAACAACACGATAAGAGAGAATTGTGTTAATACCAACGAGGAGTTGTTTGGTGTCTTAGTTTAAAAAAAAAAGAGCACATAAATCGAGTTGGCTGTCTGTGTTTTGCATGGAATAAAAAAAAAAGCAGCATGCAAATTAAACTGTAACCCCAACGATTGTAATTCTTTTCTTATTTACAACTACACACACATCTCTCGTTCACTTCCCTTTATTTTTCTGTAACTTTTCCGGTCCCCTTGCTATTTCTTAACCCGCATGTCCTTCTCACGCGTAAGTGGGGTGGGGAAAAAGAGTCTCAATAAACCTTTTCTGCTAACGATTTATACATAAAGTGTGTATACGGACGTCAATGCGTGCAATCCGTTTATCTGCTGCAGGCAATGGGGTTTTCGTGTTCGAACGGATAAGGAATAAAAAAAAATAATAGAAATAAAAAAGTCCCAAATGGTTCGGCGACGGTTGCGGAGATAACATTAATTTTACGACAATGTACGATTTACCGAACACCGTGAGCTGCAATGATGTTGAAAATGGAAAACCGTGTACTCAAGTACCCACGCAAGGTGTTTTCGATAAGCTTTAAAACCTAAATAACACAACATATACATAGGAATACCGTAAAACACGGTCACCGATCTAAATTATTTATAAGACAACAGATAGTTTTGCTTTTATTAAAAGCGCAAAGATCAAAATGTCCAATCTAAATACAAAATGTATTTTAATACTTTTGTATACACATAAAACTACAACGGTAAGTAACCGGTGTATTATTTATACATACCTTTTCGGCACGTGGCATGCTTATGATAATTACACTATACCAAGTGCATACCTTACTTAGTTAAACGTATAAATGAGGTATTTTGGGTCTTAAAAGTAATCAAGGCTGATTTTATTGCTGTCTATATTAATAATATTTTTTTCCATCATGAAAATGTCTTTTAACTGAGGGGGGGGGGGCTGTCGAAATTTTGCGTGGCCTATTTTTTTTATGGCGGAGGGGTGGAGGAGAAATAGACGTATTTATGATTTAATGTCAAGAAAAAGATTGATTTTTCGTTTGAAGAAACGTCCCAAGAGATCTCTTCCGTGTTATGATCAAGGACAAGGAAGCTTTCTATACTAAAGGCCTCGGGGTTCTTAAGCGCTATTGCGGCAACTAACAACCGTTTTCAAACAAATTATGTTACTGATAAAACCAGATATTGCGCTTTGTTGAAAAACAATACAATTTTTAAACATACGATTTTTGATTGGTTTACTAAATTGGTTTGCAGTAGGGCCAAATTATAATGCTGAAAATATTGTACACACTATTACAGTAATAAACTGATAAGAAATACTTGTTGATTAACGATTGTTGATGATGACAATAACACCACAGAGGATTGATAATAATTTTTCGACCACACTGTATAAGAGAAGGATTAATTTTTTCCATTTTTTTGGTCACACAGGCATTTGTTCGGTGTGCACTATCTGGCTAGTTATCTAATCTGTGCTTTTGGTTAGCGT